AGACTTCAGCTCAGGTCATGACCTCACAGTTCGTGAGTTCAAGCCCTGCGTCAGACTCTGCTGACAGCTCAGAGCCTGGAGCCTGCTTCAGATTCTGTGTCTCCCTCTCTCTCTGTCCCTTCCCTGCTCACACTGTGTCTCAATAATAAATAAACATTAAAAAATATATCTTCCTATTGCATTGCCCTCTCCTCTCCCATATTTATTTTTTCTACCATATTTATTTTTTCTACATATTTATATTGTAGAAACCATTTAATTTTAAGTTAAAATTCAGTATGAGTAACAAGATCATCATAGGTTTCCCTGTAAATTATCAGCCTACCTTTTTTTTTTTTTTTTTAATTTATCTATTTATTTTGAGAGAGAGAGATCATGTGCAGGGGAGGGACAGAGAGAGGGAGTCCTAGGTGGGCTCTGTCCGCACTGTCAGAGCAGAGTCCACAGCAGGGCTCAATCTCACAAACCTTGAGATCATGATCTGAGCTGAAATCAAGAGTCAGAAGCTTAACCGAATGAGCCACCCAGGTTCCCCACATTTATTAATTTTAAAACGCACAAATATTTGTTTATTTCTGCAACTATAGTGAAAACTCTACACTTTTTTTTAAGTTTATTTATTTTTTAGAAATCTCTATACCTGTCGTGGGGCTCAAACTCATGATCCCAAGATCAAGAGTTGCATGCTCTTCTGACCAAGCCAGCCAGGGGCCCCCAAAAGTCTAGTTTCTTAAGGAAATTTTTGTAGGATCTGCTAGTGAACAAAACGAATTTTCTGCCCTTTGGTGCTTCGTTCTCACAGAGAAGAAGACAATTCATACATATATACCTATGTACAAAGTCGGTTGGTGATAAATTGTCCTGGAGAAAAATAAAGCAGATTAAAGGTACTATTTTAGATAGATTGATGAGGAAAGGCCTCTAAGATTAAAGGGGGATTGAATTAAGTTTAAGAGATTTGGATTAGATGCACTCCTATTGCATTGTTCCCTCACACTTTTGTATCCATCATTACATCGTAAAGAGTTAGACATTCTGTGGAACACAGCTACTACTATAGCTTTTTTTTTTTTTTTTGACACATCAGTGAAATTTCTTAGTCTTTAGTCTGAACCAAATAATGTTACTATATTATGAACATGAATTTACTTCCTTACCATGTGCCTCTCATAAATTTTGCAAGGCACATCTTTTATTCCTCTGCACCAATAGATAAAACTTTCTATACTATTGGGGCACCTAGGTGGCTCAGCCCGTTGGGCAGCAGACTTCAGCTCAGGTCATGATCCCATGATCCTGTCTGTGAGTTCGACCTGCATCAGGCTCTGTGCTGACAACTCAGAGCCTGGAGCCTGCTTCAGATGGTCTCTCTCTCTCTCTCTCTCTCTCTCTCTCTCACTCTGTCTCTGCCCCTCTGCTACTCATGCTCTGTCTCTCTGTCTCTCAAAAATAAATCTGTAAAAAAATTAAAAAAAAAAACTTTCCATACTATTAAATAAATTTTAGTCTCAAATATGATTATATTCACCAGTAAAGTTGAAAACATAGTTCCCCCACTCATTTTCTCTCTTCAAATCTATAAGAAAAGTAAGAATAAAAACACACGGTTAGCCTCCTTCTGACAAAAAGAAAATAAGACTGGGCAAAGTGACATTGACCTCTCCATAGAGATAGGAAAGACAAAACTTCAGAATGCAAAGGTTAGGAAACATCTATCACATAATGCTATTTGTTCAACACCAGATGGCACTCTGAGTTAGTTATAAATTTGTCTAGTGCAAGGCTTATAGAGATCTTTAAAAAAGTAATTTGCTCACACTTCAAAAGAAAACATATTTTCTGGTCTTATCATTCCAAGTCTATTGACCCAGAGACTTAAAAACACATATTTTATGGACATAGAAATGATACAGAGGGAAGGAAATAGTGCTTGGCAAAAAACAAAAAGCTTTTTAGATAAATATTTTTGTTACAGCATACTGGATGCTAATTCTTCAATGAATTGAAGTAGTGAAGTTACCACTTTCTTTAACAGAAATCCCCCTAATCCGTGATATATCTTTCATTGCCTTCATAAATGCATCTGGGGCATACTTGGTTCAGGAATATCCTGTTCCTAATTCTTCCATATAACTCCATATAATAACTCACTATCTAGTTTTCCTTCCCCTGTTCCTTTGGCTCAAAGAATTTAAATATCTTTCAATTTGACACTTAAAAATTCTGAGTAAATCCTTAAATAATCGTTTCCATTCTTACTCTTCTGGTGGATATTCTATCAAACAAAGGTATTTTTTATTATTATTATTCATTTCATTCTTGAATTAGGAATCTGAACTACATGCTTTCTGAATATAAGAACTTCAAATAACATCTGACACCTCCATTTGTTATGGCTTTTTATCCCTGGGTTTCTATAAAAAAACAAGATAGATCTTTGTGGTATAATAAAAATATATATATTTGGGTTTTCAAAATATTTTTAAGGTTTTTATTTTTTAAGTAATCTCTACACCCAATGTGGGGCTTGAATTCACAACCTTGAGATCCTGGGTTGTATCCTCCACCAAATGAGCCAGCCAGGCACCCCTATGATTGGTTTTTGCCCTGAGTTTGGTCCTTGGCTCCCATAAAACCCTTGGAATTTCTGGAGGGACTGAAGTGTCTTTTGTTATTCATAACAAGGCTCTTTCCCTTATACCTGAGTTTATGGTAATTAAGTGGTTGTTGGTGGGCCCTTCGTTTGAGGAGGGGCTGGCTGTACTCAAGGAACTTTCCAATTCTTCCCCCCACCCCCCATCCACTACCCTCCACTCCTCAGGGGAAGGGAGGGGGCTGGTATTGATTTAACCACCAATGGCAAATCATGCCATTGATCAATCATGCCTAGCAATGACACTTTGATGAAAATTCCTGAATGACAAGTTTTTGGGGGAGCTTCTGAGTTGGTGAACATTGATTTGCTGGGATGGTGGTACACCTGAAGAGAGTATGGAAGGTCTGGTCTAACCTTGTCCCAACCTACCCCATGCATCTCTTTCATTGGCCTGTTCCTGAGTTGTATCCTTCATAATAAAGCTGTAATTGTAAGTACAGTATTTTCCTGAGTTTAAGGAGTTTTTCTAGCAAATTTTTGAACCTGAGGGAAGGTCATGGTAACACCAAATTTTGTAGTTGGCAGGGCAGAAGTGCAGGCTGTTGTCTGAAGTAGAGGCAGTCTTGTAGGACTGAGCTCTTAACCTGTGGGGTCTATACTAACTCCAGGTAGTTCTTGTCAGAGTTGAACTGAGTTGTAGAATACCCAGTTGATATGAGAGCATTGGAAAATCAGTTGTGGTTTGGAAAAACAAACAGTCCTTCTTAAGCCTTCTTGTGAAATAATAATATGCTGTAATTTTTGTACTCGTAGAATGAGAAACTCTATAATGCTAAAAAAGGTTATAACGAATTTCAGTAATGGTTTTAAACTAACGTGATTTTAAATACAGCTGTAATATATTTGGGGAAAAACATAAGGGGGAGATGTTGTTTAGTCTAAAACAATGCATGGGCAAACAGAAATTTGTTTTGACCTTTGCAAATGGGGATATCTAACAGTGATACCAAAGTAAAAACATGACACACCTTTATAAACCATGAGTTTTATACCATGTTCAAAAAATTGGAGAAAAGATAGAATTTTATGTCTTATGGGCAGGGACCTTGTCTGTATCCTGTTACCTAGACTAGTGACTGACATAGTAAAGGATGAATGAATGCAGTAAAACCAAAACAGAAAATGAGTATAACATAAAATTCACAGAAGTTTAACAAATTACATAAGACAATAATGAAATATCAGGCTTTATCCAGGCTGTTTGAGTATTGTCATTGTGGTAGGCTAAAAAAATGATCCTATATATCCAGGTCAAATCCCTGGAACTTGTGAATGTTACCTTATTTGGAAAACTAACTCTTTGCAGGTACAATTTAGTTAAGGACCTTGAGATGAGATTATCCTGGATTATTCAGGGATGGCCTAAATCTAATCACAAGTGTCATTATCATAGACAGATGAGGAGGCAATGTGAAGATATGGGCAAAGACTGAAGTGATATATGGGGTTCCTGAGTGGCTCAGTTGCTTAAGTGTCCAACTTTGGCTTGGGTCATGATCTCACAGATCTTGAGTTCAAGCCCTGCCATCAGGCTCTCTGCTGTCAGCACAGAGCCTTCTGTGGATCTTCTGTCCCCCTTTATCCCTCTGTCCAACCCCCCCCCCCAAATATTAAAAAAAAGACTGAGGTAATGTGGATGCAAGTCAAAGAAGCCAAGGAACACCTGGAGGTACTAGAAGGTAGAATATAAAGGAAATGAACTCTCCTTTACAGTAGCCTCTAGAATAAACATGGTGCTGTCTGACTTTGGATTTCTGGTTTCCAGAACTGTAAGAAAATATACTTTTGTTCTTTCATATTTGTGGTAATTTGTTACAGCAGCCTTAGGATACAAATACAATAGCTGATCTTTGTGGGTTCATAATCATGTTTTTTTTTTTCTTTAAAAAGTTTATTTGCAGCAAGAATTTTTGAAGTTTTCCACATGGCTAAGACTCACAGGCTGGACCCAGTATAGAGGACCTCCCATAGGGGCCCTCTCATGTAGAAGATCTCATAATTTACTGATCTTAGTGTTAAAAAAGAAATAACATGTCCCAATGGAGTCACTGGTGCTAAGTCCACATCACCAAACGGAGACTTACTATCTAACCTAATTGCAGTTTCAGCCTTTCCCAGGAATACAATCGTGGTAGGTCAATCAGGAATTTCCTGGTTAGCACTAGTGAGGTAATCTGCCTGAAAGACCCCCTTCCCCAGAGATAGGTTTATGACTTCCTTGTCCCACCTCCTTTGTGCCTTTTAAAGCCTTCCATTTGTACGGTATCTTAGAGTTCCTTTCTATTTGCCAGATGAGATGTTGCCCAATTTATGAATTGTTGAATAAAGCCAGTTAAATCTTCAAATCTATCCAGCTGAATTTTGTTTTTCAACGGTAGCTTTCAACCCTAGGCAAGGGATAGACTTGTTTTGAAGTCAACAAGAAAAGGTATGAGATTTACTTGACAATTTAAGCAACAAAAAACAAGTTTGGGGTGCCTGGGTGACTCAGTCAGTTGAGCGTCCCAACTCTTTAATTTTGGCTCAGGTCATGACCCCAGGGTTGTGGGATGGAGCCCTATGTCAGGCTCCGTGCTGAGTTTGGAGCCTGCTTAGGATTCTTTCTCCCTCTCTCTTTCTCTTTCTCTCTCTCTCCCTCCCTCTCCCCCTCTCTATCCTTCTCCCCCACTCTGTCTCTTTCAAAAAAAAAGTTTGAAAGAATATCTAAAGGTATGTCAATTATTTTAATTGATATCACATTGAGTCATGAAAAAAAGTATAGAACTTGTAAGGCTGCATTTACCCATATATTCTTAAAATTTTTTTTTAATGTTTTTATTTCTTTTTGAGAGACAGAGCACCAGTGGGGGAGGGGCAGGGAGAGAGAGGGAGACACAGAATCCCAAGCAGGCTCCAGGCTCTGAGTTGTCAGCACAGAGCCCAACTCCAGGCTAAAACTCACCAATGGGGAGATCATGACCTGAGCCGAATTTGGATGCTTAACTGACTGAGCCACTCAGGTGCCCCTTTACCCATGTATTCTTGATCTACCTATACTGGCCATCCCCCATTATGTTCACGCCATACATTTCAGTGAACAGCCAGCAGGCATACTTGTTAAGGTACTATCATAGACATCACAATTAGGACCAAAATCATCACTTCTGTAACTAAGCAATGAAGCATAATGAAGTTGGAAGATTATGATTACACTGAATTCAGACATAATACTTTTGTTTGAAGTACTTTCATTTGAGGATTCCCTTTAAAAAATCTGTCCAGTGAATTCTGTGCTTACCATAGGCTGTACTATATTAAAATTGAATGGTGACATGATTGTTTCACTTCATAATGGCCTTTATTTTGTAAAACAATTTGAAACAATAAGGTAAAATTCTACTTCAAAACGAAAATAAAAAAGTAAATTTCCTAAATAGCTTTCTTTGATTCAAAATAAATCAAAACCCACAACACTATAGATACCATATCTTAAATTTTAAAGTTAATTTTGGATTTATGAAGAATGACTTCACAGCTTTTGCGGTATTTGTTTTTGCAACTAACTTTCATCCTTTTATGAGGTAATGAAACAACTCATTTGAAAATAGGAAAAAAACGTCAGAAACAGACGTTCCAATTTTGTAACTTGGTAACACAAATTTGACACTTAGCTAGTTGAATATGAAGGATCCAAAAAGGTGTGCGTTGTTCCAATAATTGCTTCGATTTTTAAAAATACCGTATTTGCCCTTTGCCCTTAACAAATAGATCTCAATGTCCTCAGTAAATAAATATAAAGGCCTGACCCCTTCAACTTACATAGCGACGCATAAAGGGCTATTATTACCACGAGCGGCACAATGTTGTCATTAACAGCACTTCCCTGTTTTCAAAGCCACGGCAAAACACCTCCGAACTATTTCAAGTTTTATGTTCTCTCACTTTTTTTATAAACACAATTCTTGTTTTCTTTGCAATGAACGTTCTGCGTTCGGTTCCTTTTTTCTTTCAATTCTGGATGTAAACCTCCCAGTCACACGATTCATATGGGTTCCTGATCAGTAGCCTAATTTTAAGAGGACATAGTTAGGCCCTCACTTCACCGAGAGAGGCACACCTGTCCGACCGGAAGTTGCGATGACGCTACCATCTTTATGTCAACATCCCAAGCACTTCGATTCTCTTTCAGACAGTCTTTTTTTCTTCTCCGTTTCGCCACGATGGTGGCTACAGTCCCGACGCGCTGTTTCCACCGGCCAGTGAGTCTCTATGAGCGTCCCTAACCCCCTAAAGAAACAGGTGTGGGGCAGGGCCGAACCCTCGAGGCCAGCAGGGAAGGCGTCGCGTGGGCCTGCACGGCTGTTTAACTACACGTGGGCCGCGCTGACCCGGACTCTGCGCTCTGGGGCCGCGGGGCTTGGGAGCACGCGCGCGGCCCCGCCGATGAG